CTCCTCCCTAACATAGAATGAAGGAACAACCGTTACACGTTTGTCTTTATGGGACTCATCCTTTAGGATCGCGTTAGGCTTGTTCTTAAAATGGGGAGAGCCCACTGACTGTTCCCAAAGGCGCCCCTCTTCCTCCCTACTCTGAATAGTATCTCCGCCTCCCCATTCTGCTGCAGAGGGAGCTTTAAAAAGCGGGACGTCGCTAAACGTCAACCGCTTTATCGGCTCACTGATTCCCACCCCCCTCCCAACCCTCAATTTAAGCTGAAGTCGGGAAGGATACCTTCCCCAGTCCTCCGCCTTACTGTAGCCGGGTCTTTCAGACTGTCAACATTCGCCGACGCAGAGCAGACATCCGCCCCACCCATTGTCAGACGCCCCGCCCCTCTGGCGAGAGGTCGCCTTGCGTTTTTCCTCCCTCTTCAGGACAGGCGTGGAATTGCTTCCCTGGAGGTGTTCACGTCGTAGGAAGTTTATCCATGGTAATTTAGACAATTTTTCTGATTTCTGTGATGTAGGCTAAATGGGTAGAGCATGGTAGACGAAATGGGAATAGGTGTCTCATGTTAATCCAGCCAGATTTTTCGCGTGATTTGGCGAGTAAGCGGGGCGTCCCCAACATTAGGTAGAAAGATGCAACTGTATCAGTTAGAATAGAATAGAACAGAATAACAGGGTTGGACCTTGGAGCTCTTCTAGTCCAACCCCCTGCTTAGGCAGGAAACCCTACCATTTCAGACAAATGGTTGTCCAATCTCTTCTTAAAAACTTGCAGTGTTGGAGCATTCACAACTTCTGGAGGCAGATTATTCCACCGATTAATTTGTTCTGTCGAGAAATTTCTCCTTAGTTCTAGGCTGTTTCTCTTTGGTTAGTTTCCATCCATTGCTTCTTCTTTTTTATTAAAAATTTTTATTCATTTTTTCAAATAAAATATGAACAAATAATACAAATATGGTGCATTTCATTAGAAAAACAAACACATAAAAAGCCTATTCCGAAATAATCGGCGTTCCCCCCCCTGCATCCACACTCCCTCCACCTTCCTACCTACTTCCCTCTTCCTTCCTCCCCCTCTTGACCACTACCTCTCCTCTTTCCACCTTCCCAACTATCCTACACATCCCATCACCTTCTTTTCCACCACCTCGGATGCAGTTTAGGGGTACTAGCCGATCANCTCTAACATACAATAATAAACTTAAAAATAATATATATATATATATAAATTATATTAAATATATAGAAAATATTAGAAAAAAAAGATATTTATTCAAAAGCTATATGATAATTAATCACTTCATACTTTCTCTTCATATAATCTATCCATCTTCTCCACACCGAAATAAATTTTTCTTGAGATTGATCCTTCAAGTATGTGGAAATTTTTGCCATTTCTGCAAAATATGACACCTTCAATCTCCAATCATCCATAGTCGGTAATACCTCTTTCTTCCAGTTTTGAGCAATCAATAATCTTGCTGCTGTTATACAATACAACATCAAATTCATTTCTTTAGAATCCAATTTTTCCATAATACCCAATAAGAATAATTGCGGTGTAAATTTTATCTTTTTCTTAAAAATCTGTTGAATGTTCCACCAAATCTTAATCCAAAAAGCCTTTACATCCCTACATGTCCACCAAATATGATAATAAGTTGCGTCTAAATTACCATCCATTGCTTCTTGTCCTGCCTTCAGGTGCTTTGGAGAATAGCTCGTGACTCCCTCTTCTCTGTGGCAACCACTGAGTTATTGGAACACTGCTATCCTGTCCCCCTTCGCCTTCATCAAACTAGACATGCCCAATTCCAGCAACCGTTCCTTATATGTTTTAGCCTCCAGTCCCCTGATCAACTGTGTTGCTCTTCTCTGCACTTTTTCTAAAGACTCAACATTTTTTACATCTGGGGTGTTCTGGAGGGGGGGAAAGCAAATTATTAGTGATATTAGTAGTCAGGGCTTTTTTTGTCATAGAACGCCCAGAACGGAGTTCCGGCACCTTTTTTGGATGGAACCTTGTACGGTAGGCAAGGCGGGTTGTATGACGTGTGAGTTCCGGCATCTTTTTTTATTACAAAAAAAGCACTGTTAGTAGTACTGTAAATGAATGGATTGTTAATTTGTTTTATTGCTGTTTCTGCCTTGTGGTCAAAAATCACTTTGCCAGCTTGTTATTAGATACCACGCCCTGCAGAGGGAGCCTTTTTCTTTTCAGCATTAAACGGCTTGTTACTGCGACTGAATCTGGCTGCAGAGCTGAAGTGTATAAAATGCAAACTACTGTATACACTTGGCTGGAAATTATTCTGTGAACTGCGAAGACTGTCAGTTGTACAAAACCACATCACTGTAATAATTTTAATGTTTGGGCAATCTCCATAAGCTATATTCCAGGCAATGCATGCTATCTGTTGCAGAAGTAATACGACACATCCATGACTTCTCTTTAACACTTAGCCATAAAAATTTGAGAGATTATTGATACTACTAAAGGTCATGTTGGAATTAGAAAGCAGAATTTAGTCTTACTATCCTAATTAGGGCCCCTTAGGAGGTACAATAGTAGGTCTGGTTCTTGTTTTGGCTAATGTAAACAAAAATAAAGGATTGGATCTGGTTAATATTTGCATGCAAAAGCAAAACAAACTCCTTAGATTTGTAAGCTGAAAAAACAATCCAGAAGCAATGGCAAACTATTTTATCCATGCTAAGAAAAGTGCATGTATGTGACCATGACATCAGAAGTAATTAAGCTGAATATTGTTAGATTTGCATTAAAAGTTGCATTAATTTTAATATGCTTCCCTCAAAATGGTGAGATATTGTACCAACAATTTATCAATGATGCTCAGAGGCAACAAGTGTGAACTAGAGGATGCACTTTTGCCCACTTTGCTGTATTCAGTGACATTGCACCTGAATTCCTATCCTGGGGGTAGGACAGGGGTAGGCAACCTTGGCTCTTTTATGACTCGTGGACTTCAACTCCCCGAATTCCTGAGTCATAAAAGAGCCACCCCTGTCCTATCCCCACCAGCAACAGGGTCAGGCGGACTGAAGGGAAAAGATGAAACATGAAATAAAATGCTGCAGCTGAATGCTCCTGCTCAGAGGTTTGCTGTTTTTTTAGGCACTTTTCAATTCCTCCCTCAAATTTTCTTAAATGACTGACCTTGGAATTCCATCTTTCCTTTTCAACATATTTTTTTTTGCAGGGTGCTTCAAGCCTTTCCTGGTATTTACAGGAAGAAATGACACTAAATAGAGAAACCGAATGTTTCTGCACAGTATTCTGCAATGTCAGTCGCCTTTTTTAAAATTATTTTTAGCTTGAAAGAACATTGTTTAGCATTTTTCACTTTGACACTCTTTTGAATACCCATTTATCTATTGTATCTATTTAAAATCTAAATAATCAAAACAAATCTGAAACTAGTGAATACTGGGGCATTCCTGTATATTTTTACCCCAGGGAAAAAAATTCCCCTCAGTAATTTCAGTATAGCTTTTAGACCTATGTGTTTAAAGTAACCCCTTTATTACCAGACAAACATTTTTAATAATTGGCATTTGTCATTTAGCCAGATATTATAATTCAGCCATTTGTTTGGTAAGCTACCCAGCTATTGAGAAAGCTTACATTCCCCTTTTAATGTCTAAAATATTTCTGCACAAAGAATAAGGCAGCAAGTATCATTTATATGTTGCCTATTGATATTCTATTATCAAAAATCTCCTTAAAGGAATGTATGGCATCTGTGATATAAAAATACTATTTTATGGCATAATGTATCCAAACATTTTAGCTTTATATGAGCTTAATTATTACTATAATTAAAGTAAAATTTAGAATTATTTTTGAAGGTTTTCAAATCTTTCAAAATGGCATGATGGCAAGAGACTAAAGGATGTTTAGTAAATTGTATTCAGACTCTACAAGTGTTAATCACAAAACTCAAGAAAATTCAAAAAGAATAGAAAACAGTATTTTATAAACACTTTTTACAATAAGTTAAGGACTGTTAAATACAAATTTTGTACAATCAACAGAATAAGCAACTTTGTCAAAACGTTGTAAAAGGATTTTGAGTTTGCACAATTTTTTTTAACACAATTCAACTTTTTTTTAAAAAAAATATGCTTTTCAAATACCAGCAGAAGGTAAACTACCTTATATGGCCAAACACCATTTTCACTGCTTGGAACCCCATTATCTTTAATAACAATAATCGGATCAAATTGCTCTTAAGTCCAAGAATATTTTTAATCTTCAGAGCCTGAACTGGAGCTGTTATGACACTGATGACATTTGAAACTGTTTCTTATGCATCCAGAAATTTAGAATTTAGTTCTAACAATTTACCAATAATAGTGTTGTTTGTTTTAAAATGATAATGGAACTGTTGTTTAAAAGACATTAATCTACTCATGTTCTTCTGCTTTGGCTTGTTTTTTCTGACGATGATTAACAGCAACCCAAAAAGTTATCTTCTCCACAACGTCTTCCAGAAGTCTAGATGGCAACCAAGGTAATTGTTTCTCCAAGAGGACAGCATTTTTACCAATACAATCAAGACTCAATCTAAAAGAAACAATATGAACATTATAGAGTTTTGCTCTCTATAAATTGCATAGTAGCAAGCTAGTTAAAACATCTAAATATGGCAATATGTACTCCCACAGCAATATTCCCAATTTTAGTACCTCTTTCATTAGACAACTATTATTGAAAATAATCTATTCTTTGTTATAATTCTATTGAAACATCATACCTTCTATGATTTGCTTGAATCACAGATTACGTATTTGGCTTAAACAGCTGCCAAATAAGAATGACATAAGAGAGTTTATATTAAGAATGCAAAATGTATTAAAATTTCTATAAGGGAAAATGTCCTTTCACTAATGGAAAACAGCCATAGTGTGTATACAGCATTACTTGAGTCCCCAAACAATAGGACAGCTGTTACATATTTAGGTTTCAGCATACCAGAGGTCCACTAAATGACTCTGCAAACTAGAGTTGTTATATCAGGAGAGTTATTCCTGTAATAGTTGCTATTAATATTTGTTGAAGTGTACTATTCTGGAGGCTTTACAATTTTATTAGTTCTGTTTTTTCAACTCACCTGAGAAGTGAATATGGTTGTGTTTGAAAAATCAATAAATCACTGCAATGACCCTAAGGAAGAGAAAAACGATGATTTCAAATATATGCAGTTCTCTTTCTTAAAAAGTACTGAAAGCAATATACACAATTAAAAAGTGTCAAAACTGCCAGTTGTTAAACCAAAAATGAAGCAAAGCAAGAAAAGCACGGTTGTGTGGCTTTTGGAATTCTTTTGAAATTCTTAATAGTAGATCTATCCTGTGTCATGTGACCCAAGTGAAAGTAGGATTAAAAATGCAGCAGCCTAACACATTTCAAACTGTTGCCCAACTGATTCTCCCATAGAATGTGCTGCGCAATGTTTTTCTGATTTTTCCCCCCACCACAGCATCCAGCTGGAATTAATTTTTGTTGTTGTTATTATTGGTTTCTCTTACCACATCAACTCATCCTGTTTTTTGAGAGTTATAAATACTGAGTCCCAACTTGTCTAGATAGGTTTTTTTTTTCAAAAAAATCATTTGTTTTTTTACCTTCATCCATATTCTAATTTTCGTTTTTTGTTTTGATGATTTCCCTTGGCTTTCCCAGGCGGCTTATCACCTCATTTCTGATCTTGTCAACCCAGCTTTTATGTAACAACCGCCTGTAAATCCACATTTCAAATGCTTCTAGTCTCTTCAGGTGGCCTTCTGTCAGAAACCAACTCTCTACTCCATAGAGCAGGATAGAAAAAATATAGCATCCTTTAAAATGTATAAAAACAATTAGATCGTTTAAGGTACTTACCCTATCCAGGAAGTGCAAATCATCTTTACTTCCTCCAAAGACTAATACTTCACCCTCTTTGCCAGCACAGGCTGTATGCCATAACCTAGAATGTATTTTACTTAGAATGAATGCTCAAATAATAGATTTTGTAGAAGCATTTACTTACATGTTTTAGAGGTGCATATTTTATCTATATTACAGAACTTTCCACTTAATCTCCAACATATAATATCAACATTGTCTTGGAGTGATTACTCAATTCTTTAAAATATTTTGAACTTGTTAGTAAGGAATGAAGAAATTTAAATCTTACTGATATTTTCCTGTTTACTATTAGTGGACTTATTTTCTTAACAACAAGAACAGGAAGAATTTAAAAAATTAATAATTCATTTGATCCAACTCTTAAAAAATTGTTTGCACTGATGAAAGACAGGTTTAAATATCAAAACAGCTTATTCTGTCTTTATAAAATAGTTATATACTTTAAGTACAATATAAAATTGTTTTATACTAATCATGAAAATGTGAAAAAAATTGATATGTATAAGCCATAATATTATCATGAAATATGTTGGCATGAATATCAAAGTACGAGTATTCAAGATAGCATTACTTAGAAACTCAGCTATCTGAAAGATTTTATTTTTCCAGTCTTAGCATTAATTTAAGGCGACCCCTAGTCATTATTCATTAGAATTTATATTTCTTTTACAGGGCATGAAATGAAAATACTCCTGGACTAGGATAATCTCTTCTTTTTTTTAATATAATCTTCTTTAGCATTAATAGCCTGCCTGCATTAACTGGAGAAAGAAATTATATGGACCAACATTGTTTTCTGTCATTATATATGCTAGCTGTGAGTTGAGTAGAAAGGCAATATGTGTTAATAACACATTGGAAGTGTGATGCACCTTTCTTTTAAAAAATCAAGAAAACAGGCAAGAACAGAGATATGTATTTGAGTAAAAACACATTTAGGGGCACAAATGTACCAAAAATCATGGCAACTCTATATAGAATGCAGTTTTCTATGAGTATTAACTGAGTTGTAATGGTTGCATCTTTTTGCTTGTAACTATGAACATGATTGGGAACCAAAGTAAAAAGGGCACTCTGTTCTCCCATTCCTCCTTTGCATCCTACAAACGTTGCGTGTTATTTTGCACACAATAGTGCAAAGTAAACAAACTGATACAGGACATTGTCTTTGGGTTTTTCCCCACTGTTTGGGTATGTTAAACTGCCAGAATTGTTGGAGTTTTGTGGCATAGAAATTTGCACTATAGACACAGATATAGACTGTTGAGAATGCAACTCATTTGTATAGGATCACAGCAATAACTGTGTTAGGACAGCTTCATTGCGTGTGAAGTCATTTTCTGGAAATTAAATTAACACAAGAAACTCACTGTGTATAGGATTGTGAGATTAGTTCCCTTTTGTTTATTT